ATGTTATACTTGTGGCCGTGGCCTCAAGTTTTCTCTTCAGAATAGCAACTGTTTATCACACCATCATGTCAGTTTCTGTGTTCAGGGAATGTGTGACCTAATTCCCTGTTACATTTTCAGAGTGGCAAATTTCCTGACTTGCCTTCTTGTATATGTCTTCATATAATGGCAGAGCAGTTCTCTTACTTTTTGTGGTTGCTAGATTATCCCTTCCTTGGAACTTGAGGATGCTGAGTGCAAACTGTGGTTTAAAGGTCTCAAGTGACAGGGATCCATTTGTGTCACTGTCAGTCTGTCGATGCATATGGTATCTGACAGTGTAGAGATTTTCTGTCTTGACTTTATGTACCTTTGGGGCTGTGTTAACCTCTAAACTTTAGGATTTTTGTCTCTTTAAGCTAGGGCATGTAATCTCATCCTTCGTTAACACTGGTTTTAATCTTCATTGTGATATCCTAGTTGAATGACCTCTGGATTATGTATTTTCACTAATTACTGATGGTATTAGAAGAAAAAACCCTTGATACTGCTTAATCTACCCACTTCTGCTCTTAGCTGGTTGAGAATCTCATTTTAGGACTTCCTATCTGTGATCTTTTTTTTTTTTATCTGTCCCTATCCAGATGTCTCTAAGTTCATTCAGTAATCCTATTAGTGGCACAGAGTGAGAGCTGTGTATCCAGTTTATGATGAGGGTAAAGCAGTCTGTGGGAGGTGGAGTAATTCTGTACTGTGAATCATGTGTTCAGAAACTACTGTTGGGACATAGAGTTGGAGTGGTTTATCTAGAGCACAGAGGATGGGGAAGGGATGGGAAGGAGGATGGGAGACACCAGGGACTAGGATACTGAGTTTAAAAGCAGCTTGCCTGTGAATATGGTGTGAACATAATTTCTTAGATCAGGGAAATATAGAACAGAAGTGATTGACCACCCAGCTACAACCAGAGTTCCGTTCAGTGGTTCAGAGGCCATGTTATTATATGTTCATGTGCTACCCTACTGGTTTGAGGAAGCAGCTTCTATATCAGCATGCTGCCTACAGGAATTGATTCAGGCCCACAGTTCCTGTACTATGTTCGTTGACTTTGTACTCAGTCTCAGTTTGTACTCATCACAGTGTCCTGTGAGTGTCATGATGCAAACTGAGAAATCTTGAGAAACCACTTTCAGTTTCTCCATCACTGTTATGGAGATAACGGTGAGGTGTACTTTAATATTCCTAACAGGAAGGTCAAATATGGTGTTGCTCAATAATGTATGGGCAAACAGCTGGCGTTTGCATAGTGTTGCGTTTCTATGAGGTTGAACACATTGCCACGGTTTAACAGCCAAACCCTTGGTGCCAAGCAGTGCCTAGCATCTTGGACAACGCACGTTTTTCTTAAAATGTTTATTCTAAAATTTAATACATGCTTTCTGCATGCATGTGTTTTTTAGAGGCTTTGAAGCTCTCCATGTTTTGATTAACCTACCCATCTTCTTTCCAAACTGAAGAATTAATGAGTTTTATAGACATCGTAAGCTTAAAGTCACAGGATAAAAAGGAATTTGCAGTTAAGAGTGAAGTTTTTATGCACAGACTCTTTCCATCTTCTGAAGAAGAGTCAAGAAGAGGCAAATTCTGGAAAGATGTTTGCTTTCTGGAGTCTTTAAGCCAGAATTTCAGTCTGTTCTGACTCAGAATAAATGTCCATGGCTTTCCACTTATTGTCTGGAAAAAGTGAGCCTAAGCCTTCTCCAGCCTGTGCATATTTGTCACAGGTGAAGATGTGACTTGATTATACTGTCATTTCAGCATATTATCTTGGGAGATACATGTGCTTGGCTTTCATAGCTTTGCTTAGTTGGAAAATTCCAGGAATGCTAGCTTCCAAGGCTCTCAGGGGTTGCAATCCTTTTCACTTGAATATTTCACAGTGGTTATAACATCAGTCTTTAGCTCATGTTGGATATCCTTGGCACAGCCTTTTGTGACTAGCTGGTTATATGAGCAGGTCGTTGGCACATAAATGAAAAGCCATAACAATTGTGTTTTATTTTTGTTTGGGGAGATTGATTGTTTAAATACTAGGGCAAGAAGAGTGACTTCAGCAAGTAACTTCTTCATAAGCAAGGCTTTGCAATGCCGAGTGAGTCATGCTTCTGTCATCAAAATAGAAGGATTCCCTTGATATAAAAGTCCAAAGCAACTGAGCTATTGAAGGAACTACATTGCAAATTCATTTGGAATAACAAAAGAAAAAAAAACCCAGGATAACGAAAACTATTCTCAACAATAAAAGAACTTCTTGAAGAATCACCATCCCTGATCTCAAGCTGTACTATAGAGCAGTAGTGATAAAAACTGTGTGGTATTGGTACAGAGTCAGGCAGGAAGATCAGTGGAATAGAATTGAAGATACAGCAATGAACCCACACACCTATGGTCACTTGATCTTTGACAAAGGAGCTAAAACTGTCCAGTGGAAAAAGAACAGCATTTTCAACAAATGGTGCTGGTTCAACATGAGGCCAGCATGTAGAAGAATGTAAACCGATCCATTCTTATCTCCTTGTACAAAGCTCAAGTCCATGTGGATAAAGGACCTCCACATAAAACCAGACACACTGAAACTAATAGAAGAGAAAGTGGGAAGAGCCTCAAATACTTGGACACAGGGGAAAAGTTCCTGAAGAGAACACTAATGGCTTACACTAAGATCAGGAATTGACAAATGGGACCTCATAAAATTGCAAAGTTTCTGTAAAGCAAAGGACACTCTCAATAAGACAAAACTGCAACCAAAAGTTTAGGAAAAGATCTTTACCAACCCTACATCCGATAGAGCGCTAATACCCCATATATACAAAGAACCCAAGAAATTAGATTCCAGATAACCAAAAAAAACTATTAAAAATGGGGTACAGAGCTAAACAAAGAATTCTTAACTGAGGAAACTCGAATGGCCAAGAAGCACCTAAAGAAGTGTTCAACATCCTTAGTCATTAGGGAAATGCAAATCAAAACAACCCTGAGATTCCACCTCACACCAGTCAGAATGGCTAAGATCAAAACCTCAGGTGATAGCAGATGCTGGCGAGGGTGTGGAGAAAGAGGAACACTCCTCCATTGTTGGTGGGATTACAAGCTGGCACAACCACTCTGGAAATCAGTCTGGCAGTTCCTCAGAAAATTGGACATAGCATTACCTGAGGACCCAGCTGTAGCACTCCTGGGCATATACCCAGAAGATGCTCCACTCTGTTCATAGCAGCCTTATTTATAATAGCCAGAAGCTGGAAAGACTCCAGATGTCCTTCAACAGAGGAATGGATACAGAAAATGTGTTACATTTACACAATGGAGTACTACTCAGCTATTAAAAACAATGAATTCGAGAAATTCTTAGGCAAATGGAACTAGAAAAGATCATCCTGAGTGAGGTAACCCAATCAAAAAAGAACATACATGGTATGCACTCACTGATAAGTAGATATTAGCCCAAAAGCTTGCAATACCCAAGATACCACAGACCGCATGAAGCTCATGAAGAAGGAAGACCAAAGTGTGGGTGCTTCAGTCCTTATTAGAAGGAATAACAAAATACTCATGGGAGAAAATACAGAGACAAAGTGTGGGACAGAGACTGAAGGAGGGGTCATCTGGAGACTGTTCCTGGGTATCCATCCCATGTGCAGTCACCAAAGGCAGATGCTGATGTGGAAGTCAGGAAGTGCATGCTGACAGGAGCCTGATTGATATACATATAAATGTGTGTGTGTGTGTGTGTGTGTGTGTGTGTTTGTGTGTATATATATATATATATACACATAAATATATATATATATATATATATATATATATATATATATATATATATATCCTTAGAGATCTGCCAGAGCCTGACATATACAGAGGTAGATGCTCACAGCTAACCATTGAACTGATCAAGGGGTTCCCAATGGAGGAGTTAGAGAGAAGACTGAAGGAGCTGAAAGGATTTGTGGCCCATGGGGAGAGCAACAATACCAAGCAACCAGAGCTCCTATGGTCTATCTAAACCACCAGCCTGAGAGCACATAGGGAAGGAGGGACTCATGGCTCCAGCTGTTTATGTAGGGGAGGATGGCGTTGTTGGGCATAGGTGGGAGAGGAGGTCCTTTGTCCAGTGAAGGCTGGATGCCCCAATGTGGAGGAGTTCTAGAGCAGGAAGGTGGGAGTGGTTGGGTGGGTGGGGGCACATCCTCATAGAAGCAGGAGGAGGGGGATGGGATGGGTGCTTCTGCAGAGTGGGGAATGGGGAAAGGTGATAACATCTGAAATGTAAATAAAATATCCAATAAAAATTAATTTAAAAAATGTTCAAAGCACTAATCATTTCATGGATTATTTGTCACACTTAAAGTATTGCTCTTGAATCCTTGCTGCCTATGCTAGGCTAGACCAGCTCTGCAGTTAGTGAAACCACACATCTGTCTTCAGGCAGTAGCCAGTCTCTGCAACCATATGTGTGCAAAGGCAGCCTGGCCACCATTTGCTATGAATATGACCAAGTGACTGTTTTCTTTTGATTGTCTCAAATTATCCTATGTTTCTGCTTCTTAAAGTATGTTAATGGTTGATTCTAGGGATAATATATTCATGCCATTTCTTTAGAACTAAATAAGAATATTTATATAAAGCTTCCTATCCTTTATAATGTTATACATTGCTTTGATTTATTAGCCGTCTTTGGTTTAAAGAGCTTCATACTCTAAACACCTGGTCTTTCAAATTCTGCTACTTATGGAATAGAACTCTGGCTGAGGTGGGGATGAACACCATGAAGTCTTAGAAATTCTCAGACTCACTTCTTAATGAACTCGGGATTTATATGCTAACATTGCATATTTTTGCTTAATGGTTGGTAGGAACTTTAGTGGTGCTTGCCCTTTCTCACTAATATATTTGGCAGACTATGTATATGAACTGGCATTTATTCGAATTTGGATTTTAACTCCTGTTTTTTTTTTTTTCAGTTGTTCTTATTCCAGTTGCTTCGAGGGCTGTCTTACATCCACCAGCGTTATATTTTGCACAGAGACCTGAAACCACAGAACCTTCTCATCAGTGACACGGGGGAGTTGAAGCTGGCAGATTTCGGTAGGAAAGCAGTTAATTACCGGTCTATTTGTCACACTGTGAGAGTGCTGGGCAGATGGTGGCACTGCCTTTGTTTAGGTGCAGTGTCTCTCCCATCACAGATCAGGGTACATTCTTTTTTTCTGGAACAAAGAAATTATTTCTGTCTTTTGAAAAATGATGGAGTAAAATTTAGTGTTTGGAAGATTTTTTATAATGTGTAGGCTGCTTATTAATCTTCCTGGCATGATAACAAGACACTCACACATGACACTGAATAAGATGTCAGTACAATTTTGAACATAAAATGTACTAAGGAAGTCTTTTTTCTTATCATAGTTTTTAATACGAAAAATAATCAAAAGCAAAATGATAATATAGTGTACCATATGACTTCTAGAAGTCTAAACATTTTATTGAACTTGAAGAGTTGTGAAGTGAAATCTTGGCACCATTTTTGGGGATTCTAGGATGGACAGTGTTCAAAATTGTATGTTCTCCTAAGGATTATAGTACTATGGGAATCTTAGCATAGTGTACCCTTTCCAGAAGTAACTGTTATTTCATATATTGCCCATAGCAATGTAAATGAGAATAGTTATTTAAATTCTAGGTCTCAGAGCAAGCCTTTTGTAAGTTGTTCTTAGAAATTTGATGCTTGGTCTTCAATAGCATTGCTCATCCAAAGGAAGCAAAATCAGTGCCTCTCCTGTCTGTCAGGAGAGCTGTGGCTCACTGGGTTCCCAGCTCTTGGAGTGACACTGTGATGTGTTGACACTACACTGCCTCAATTATTTTTGAATACATATTCAGATTAGAAATTTGTTCCATTAAGAAGAGAATGAAAATATTACCCTTGGGGTATAAAGATGCCTGAGGTTGAGACAACCTTTTGAGGAAAATAATTATTTTTTCCCATCCTGAATCTCAATGAATAAAAGAGGGAAGGAAGTGGCTGTTTATTTCAAGGTCAGGTAATTGAATACCACTGGACACATTTACTCTGCTGGGTTTTATGTGTTCCAGTTTTCCAAAGAGAAAATAAAATGGAAGTTAGCATGATTAATGCTGTATTTTTACAAAACACTCTTCTTTTTCAGCATTTTGATGCAAATGATGAAACTCTGTGTATGTTTGCCTGCATGTGTTGTTTATCGCCAGACTTGGCATCAAGATTCTATGAGGTAGCTAGATAAAGTCTGTTTCAATACAGAAAATAAATAATGAGCTGGGGAAGTGGGAGAGAGAGAAGCTTGTAGTTCCTGAAATTCACGGGATTAGCTGTGCAGCAGACATTTCATAGTTGGTCTCTGACAATAACTTTAAAAGAATTTATAATGATTTTTTTAAATCATAGTTTGCTAGTTTAAGGTATTTGTTATAATATACTATTGTGCTGAACATTTAACAGAATTTAGCCTGTTTCTTAAATTTTTTATTAGGTATGTCAATAATTATGTTATGAGAATTACTTGTCTGCATAGCTAAGAATACAGTAGAAGTGTATGGATATGATTCACAATTGGTTTTATATATTAAAATGTTGTTTTTACTATTAGAGTATGGTTAATTCATCTTAAAAGACTCTCTCAAGGCGATTCATTACCCAGTGCCACACAGTCCTGAAGATATACATGCAACTGACATCAGATGGACTCAACAGGTTATATTTAGGAACATATACACAAATGAAACACTAGCATTTACTATCAGACCAGGAACAAAGTGAGCTGAATGTTTAAAACCCAATACTATGGTGGTATTCTTAATGTAGAAAATTTAGGAATATGAATAACTCAGAAATGATGTGTTAACATTTTTCTGTATTTTCTGTGACTTTTTTAATATCTTGTTTCCCTTATCTTTTACAAATGACCCAAAAGGTGCATACTATTTTGTATTTGTCTAATAAGTATATGTCCTTAATGTTTATTCATGTTAAGAAGCATGACAAAATTGTATACGTCATCTGGTATTTTTCCACTATAGGCTGAAATATCATTTCTGTTCAAGCCTTTGTCAAGGATGTTTTAATTTTTCTAATTACCCACAATTATGCACATTTCTGTAGTGGTACTTAACTCTCACTGAGGGTTATTTTCTACATACATTTAGAATGAATAAATTGGAGTGGTTTATCACCACAATCTTCCTATTGCAGAGCTTTGCCGTGTTTTTATGTACTAAATTGTGTGCCACATTTGAACACTTTGTAGTGAAAGCAAGATTTGGTAGGCATGTAGAGGTGTTTTAACAGCAATTGATTCTTCATTCCAGACTGGCGTGCCAAGGATGGCCCTCTACCCCAAGTGCTGCAGTCTGTTGTCTAGCTAACAATGAGCAGTGGGCATACATCCCATGCATAGAGTGTAATGAGTGAGAATCATTCACCAATTGATTTCCCCCAATTAATTGTGCATTATTTTGTCTTTTAATTTAAGACATGCAATTAACTCTGATTTATTGTGTTTGGACGCAAGTGTGAGTAAGATGTAGGAAGTGCATGGAAAAGTGCAATGAGACCAAATTGTCCTAGTGGGACAGTTCCAGGCAGCAGAGCAGTTAGACGCTGGGTGTCATTCAGAGTTTGACATGGAAGAGCTTTGAAAACCATTTCCTTGTCTTTCCTTTCCCTCTTATCTGAACAGTGGCATAAACATCCGAATAAAGGAGGCAAATGTGGTCCAGATGACTGTATCCTCTGCACTATAAATGCTACTTCCTTCTTAGGTAAAAAGAACATGCCAGAGACTAAAATAATGTATGAAGTTTATTCTGCATACTGTATTCACATTAGTCGTTTTTTGTTTCATCACAAATGAACTTATAGCAAGCATTGCAACTTTTTGAGAGAAGTGTGAAATTTTGGAGTAAGTTAGATCTTAGGAAGCTTGGCCTAATAGGTGTCTGCTCACAATGCTAGTCTATCAGCCACTGAGGTGTCTAGTCACAAGGCTGATCTGTCAGATCCATAGCCTTTGATCTCAGTTGGCCAAGTGTCTTTATTTTTAGAGACACACTGTCTAATTCTTTAATAAATTGTTGATCATTATATGTATGACATATATAGATGTGTGTATAGATGTGCTGAATACAATAACTATGATACTGTTACAATGTATACAGATCACACTAATAAAATACTTCTCAAAATTTAGAACCTTTTTAAAAAATTTCACTAACTTAACAATAATGTGTGAATTTGAATTAATACTTGGGTGATTTTGTCCTTGGATGAGATGGAACAGACATCGCTATATTTATAGAACAGAGCCTCTGAACAGAACACAGTTCTAAATTCCAGGTAGTTGCAAAGCTCTGACCATTTTCAGTAAGGCGAGTCCCACTTACCACACACTGAGCATTATTTTCTGCATGTATTTAGAATGAATAAATTGGAGTGGTTTATCACCACAGTCTGCCTGTCGCAGAGCTTTGCTGTGTTTCTATGTACTAAACTGTGTGCCACATTTGGACTCATTTCCATTTGTCTTCACATTATCTATGGGGAAAATATTCTAACCCAATATGGAACCTCTGGCCTCACTACCTTGGTGGTGCTAATACTCTGTGGAACAACCTAATTCCAAACTTGTTTCCTCCTCACAGCCTTTGATTGGCTTTTATTCTCTCCTAGGATGTGCTGCTTCCTGCTTCCCATGTGGCTGTTTTTCTTTGTTTCTTTTTGTTATTTGTTTATTTATTTATTTATTTATTTATTTATACACAGATAGTTTCTGTAACCCTTCCCAGAATCGGGACATTCTCAGTGCTGTCACCAGCTTACCAGCCCCCATCAAATTTCTAATGCTTTGAAGGTATTTTAGTCACTACCTTTTGGCTTCAGCTACATTTCATACTCACTATTGTCTGCATTATGTACACAACCCTACAAGGGATGCTTGATACAAAGTATTAACAATAAATACTGGTTGGATGGTTAAAAATATGCAAGACAAAGTGAATAATCATCCAAAGATTAAGACTCAGTTGAACTTGCTAATCTTTGTTTAATTAGCTTTGGAAAACTAGCTGTTTCTAGAACAACTATCCCTTTTCAGAGTTGTCCTCGATCTTGATGGTCAAGAGTAGAGATGGAATTGATGGGTTGAGGTAGTGTGGCATCTCGGGCTTGTTCTGAGTCTCTCACACGTGGGCTTCATACACTGTTTGATATTTACAAGGTTAGGATCTTGGGGTTGCAGAAATAAAAGCATCACTGAGCAAATTTAGCTATTAGACTGCACCTAATAGCCTACTTGAACTGTTTTCAACGGCAAAGTATATCAGACATTGAATTAAGAGGTTGTTATGAATTTAACTAATTTTTTTCAAGAAATTATTTGTGTTTTCTGAGATGTATGCTTGTTGTATGAAATAAAAGACCACAGAAAAATTCGGTCCAAGGTCCTCTTAGTGTTCATTGCTTGTGCTGAACACTTTTGAGCTTATTAATAATCCCATTTTCTAATGACTAGGAACATACTGGTAAGGAAAAATCTGTTCACTAACTATGAATCAGTGCTGTGCCGTTCCTCTTAGAAATCTAAATTTTGGTTCTTTTTTTTTCATTTTTAAGATTATTATAATTACATCATTTCCCCTGTCCCTTCCCTCCATCAGCCCATTCTTTATGCCCCTTCCACACACAAACTGTCATTGACATGCATGGCCCCATTTTCTTTAAAGTTTGTTACATACATGCATGTGTGTATGTTTCTCTCTACATATACAAATACAACATGCTTGCTCAGTTCATACAATGTCATCTGTGTGTATGTGTCTTCAGTAGGTTGAAATTCAAACAAATGAGTCAAGTCATGCTTTTGTGATGCATTGAGCACATTAAAAGAAAATAATTGAAGCACAGAGAGCTTCATTTCATCAATTCATCAGGGCTTAAACATTTATTTTCTATTTAATAGAAAATTAATAGTGTAAGAATTCAAAGTAGGGCCTGGAGAGATGGCTCAATGGTTAAGAGCACTGATTGCTCTTCCAGATACCCGGAGTTCAATTCA